AGCGCCAGAGCACTATTATCTGTGATGCAACGCCCTTTTCACGCCCCATCCATGCATGACTCACACCCCGTTCTCGATACTAAAACGTACCTTCTAAGTCTCGTACGCACTACGACCGCGATTCAAAATACAAAGCCCTCTTCATCCCCCTGCACGATTCGCAGATAGAGGCGCAAGAACTAAAAGAGTGTGAGACAATGGAAGAAGAGCTCGAGGAGTTGCAAGTCGTCGCTAATTTTCAAAGGTTTCGTGTAAAAGGAACGCGCCAGAAAAAAAAAAACAGAAAAACCAATTTTTTGCATGGAGAAAAGCACAAAGAGAAAGGAACTTAAGTGCTAAACACGTCATCAATTAGAACAAAGTAACCGTTACTTGTCCAATTCAAGCTTATAATGTCACGTAGGGGTCGGAGGTCTGCAACGGATTCCACAACCATGAACCTGCCGAAATTTTCACTGCAAACGCTGCCACCAGCCCATTGTACAGGGACCGGAAGAAAGTTTTATAGCAACAGGCGAGGTTGGGGGTCGCCCGTCAGATGGACAGCACAGTGCGAGCGATGTACCCAGTTTGTAGATCCACGCACCCTGATGTCTACATTGACAAATTCGCGATGAAGGTGGAGATGCTGGCAAAGCAGCCTTTATAGATGCTTTGCTGGATTCTCTTGTGGATTGAGAATCGTGCATTGCCTGCGGCGTGGTGAATGTGAGTTGTTTAAACATATGTTTATTGCCCCCAAAACAGCTTGCAAAAGCGAAACTAATCATTCCGCAGGTGGTCTCTTTACATTTAATACTACGTACACGACGTAAAGATGAGAGCTTGATGCCAAACTCCTATTCTATGGACACCACAACCTTATGAACCGCTCATAGATATCTTTCATACGCACAATACGCCACTTCTTTACGGAACGGCAATGACGACACCAAATTGTTCCTTCACAATTATAGTGTATACTACGAAACGGGACTGACGATCATTCCAAGTGAGCATTGAAAGACTTAAAAAGGCGCATCTTCATGCACTTGTGATTATCTGTTGCCCACTCGTTTACGCCTACCCTCGTCGACTGTGCTGTCAAAGTGAACCCTGGGAAGCAGTTTTTTGGTACCGACCGTGAGCTTGCATTTATAAGCGCAATTTCCAGCGTCTATCCTGATGGAATTTGGCACATCAACCAGACATCCTCTCTATAATGGGGCAACCCATTGTACTGAGTAGCCAAAGATCTTAATTACACAATTGCACTTTATATGTATAGGCAGTATCCGAATAGCGGATGCTGCGCGTCAATTTATTACTGGTTTAATGTTGGAATACCTGACCCAAATATTAGACGATTAAAAATGTAATTTATAACTGAGTGGTACCCATGAGCCAGGGAACATATTCGCACTTACTGAAATTTGGAAGAACACAAGATAACTAGCAACTTTTACCCTCTCGATAAGGTTGCTTTTTCACGCATTTAAGAAATTTTTAAGAAGGCGGGACTCTAGCCCCTTCACACCTGGTAGCACTTCGTAGTCCTTCTCATGACCAAGTTCGATATGGACATGAACGAATCTTCAATGGCTCCAAAGTTTTTGCTGGGGCATGCAGACTTACCCATCAGACTTCTGTGAAATGTCAGGCATTACATTGCCTTGCGGCGGTGTCTGGTAAAATTTTCTAGACGTCGCTTCTGAGCACAGCGATGAACGAGCAACACCGTGCCGCCATTAAACATTACACGATACTGTGATCTCGCTGAAGCGCATCGGCAAGTACATACACTCTCGTGCACCTTACATTATGATGCATTTGAAATGAGGGCGTCGATGCTCGCCGATAATGGTCCGAATCGTGTTCCCGTTTTTGTGGCTGTAATGAAGAATTTGTAAATAGCCACTAAAACGGGAACACGATTCAGACCATTGTCGGAGAACATCGACGCCCTCGTTTTAATATCGCGATAAAGTCAAGGTTGATTGACGCTTTGACATGATGACACAAGTCTATATGGCGGCTGTGGACTATACGACGCAAGGCAAGTCTATATGGCGGCGGTATACTATAAATGATGACGCAAGGGAAGTCTATAAGGCGGCTGTAGACTATGGAAAGGGATAGCGTCGCAAGCTAAGTTACATCAGTATATCACTTTCATTTTTCTCCAAGTCAAGCACACATCCACGACGACCCCTCTGCAATCCACGGACCGTTCTTTTACAAAGACCCATCTGCGAGCCAAGGGTTGTCACTCTGAAAATTCTCAAAAGAAATATAAAAGACAGGGATTTATATGGGAGACAAGTGCTTTGTATCAAGTAAAGTCCTGTTCAACATCCAGACCAGGGCTGGTGCAACTAACGTCCGCCGCGAATCTGTTCAAGTTGGACTATCTCGATTTGGCGGAGGGATTCCTCAAGAATGGCTACAGTGGACGCACAAATTTCGGCGTATTATGTGACCTAAAGAAGTGGTCAAGAGAAGAGGCGCACATCCATCTCATGGTCCTGCTAGAGACTGAAGCCCTCGAAGCCTACGTCGAAGCCACATAAAGGGTGGACATCTCGAACGATGTTGCTTTCGATCCAGCCTACGAAATGTGAGGACGACACTTCGTGCCGGTGAACTACAACGAGCAGCTGGAAGAAGAACTATTCTTGTTCGCTAAAAGGCATGATGAGACCATCGCGCAATGCAACAGTCGAGTGCGAAATCTGACGCGCATGATAGCACATCTCCCCGCAGGTGCCCTTGATCTGACAGAGGAAATGTAAATTCGGTATTTTAAGCGCGCAACGCCCAGTAACTGGAAGCTAGCCTACGAAAGAAGTGGGATCGACCTGCTGACAATCACAAACGCTGTTCGATACTTTGAGCGTCTTCAAGTTTTGGAGGTCAGACAGCGGAAGGAGAGCGGGCGCCATGCTCACGCAACGACTGACCGCAGTCAAGCTCCCAGGCCCAAGCATGGAGGCAACAAAAACAAGTGAGGCCATCTGAAATATGGAAGCGAAATGCGTCACAAGCCAAAACAGAATCGTAGTAATGACGAGTAGAAGCGATGCAAGCTTCTCAAAATGGCTTCGCACAGCGACAGTGAATGTTCTACTCAGCAGCGTAAGCATAACACTAAGCAAGTAATCAAAAAATATATGCGCAAGGCTGAAATGGCTGAGGTAAAGGAAGCAACACGTGTGGAAGAAACAAGTAGCATTTGCTCATAGCATCACGATGACCTGGAGCTCAATGTTATCACAAACATGTTGTCTGCGCAACCAAAATCAACACCCCCTATGCGACTGCGTATTTTCATGTTGAAGGACCAGGTGAACAAGACGTACCTGGCGTTACTAGACACAGGATGTTCCACCAGCTTCATCTACGGACACCTTATACACATTAACAAGCACCTGGGAAAAGCTTTGACACCTTAATCAGTGCGCTTAAATCAAGTTGACGGCGTACATACAAGTGAAGGCTCTACTATGGTAAAGTTTGGTTTCCGGAGTTGAACTACACTCGCTCATAACGCACAAATTTAAGTCATCAAGGAGTCAAAAGACGACATGGTGATTGGTCGAGAAATTATCAGCGCCTTGGGAATAATAGTAAGCTTTCGAGACAAGACGACAGGATGCGAAGGCAACACGTACGTAATTTAAGCGGGACGACACACAACCAAGGACATCATCGACTCGACTGATGAGCTAAGGGAAGTGGTAGCAGCAGGTGTTGAACCGTCGGAATTAATGAACGATGGACATGTCAGCCGATAAATAAGTGACAAGATCATCGCGCTCTTAACGGATTATAAGAACCTTTACGAGGGACGATTGAAAAAAATGTCGCTACCAAACTTTGTCCTTCCCGTATCTACTCATTTTAAGCCCGTCTACTTAAGACCATTCCCTTTAATTAAAATGCAAGAGAATTCAGCACGAATAGGGATACGTCGCCCTGTGGACCTTGAAGCGCTTGAACATGTGTACGATTCAGATATGGCTTCTCCTACCTTCTTTGTAGCGAATCCTGACGGACGACTCCGCTTGCTAATTGACTTCCAAAAAATGAACAAATTTTTGATACGAAGCCCCTTTTACGTGCCACAAATTCAAGAGTTTTGATCCAGTTAGGTGGTGCCAATTTCTTCACTACAATGGACGCAAATATGGGATACTACACTCGGCAGCTGGTGCCAGAAAGTCGATGGCTTACCGCGTTCTGTCTACTTTTCGGCAAATTTCAGCACACGAGACTACCGATGGGGATATCAACCGCGCCAGACGAATACTAAGCCTGCATGATGAAGACATTAGAAGTCTTCGGATTTGTAATTGTCTACATGGATGACATCCGAGTATACTACTCGACAACGGACGAGGATCACCTTATCCATGTGGAGCTAGTTTACAAAAGGCTGCGCAAGTACGATGTGACCCTTAGTATAGAGAAGTGTCACGTTTTGTGCAAAAATATGGAATATCTCGGGTTCACACTTAGTGCCGAAGGCATCAAGTGTAACGGGGTGAATCGTTGCATAACAATATATAAGAAATTGTTAATTGAATATAACTATAAGAGTTATATTCACAGAATATTGTCATAAGGACAAATATTCTGTAGCACTTACGAGTAGTTCCTAATTGGTTGATATAGGCCATTATATCAACCAACGAAGACGCGCCACGACAGACGCACGCAATGAGTGGTGAGCAGATAACTGATTTACACATTTGTATTCAGACACAGTTAGATGAAGATAAATAGGGATTTATTGCAGACATTAACTATTATAAATACAGTTCTACTTTTTACTCTAACCAAGTACTCGCTTCTTCTTACCGTCTTCCTCTGCACGTACCAGTGTACGTGAAGTTACGAGGCACCGCCTTATTCTTTCATCAGAATAAGTAGCTTGTACTGTCACCAGTAAAAGCTTCAGGGTGCCCCGTTACACCTGGTAGCACTTCGTAGTCCGTCCAAGGACCGCGTTCACATCCAACATGAATATATTAGATGATGAAGATGACCAAAGCTTTCACGCTACGCGTGACGGCTACTCCCATTTGAGCGATGTCGAATGGGATGCGGTTGAACGGATGGGTTCGACCATGGGCATCCATGCTGTTAGCGTCATGCTAGAGGCTCTCAATAGAGATGTCCAACATGCTACTATCGCCAAGTTCATTCAAAATGAACTTGACGCAGAACGCGAGAAAGTAGCCTTGCTTCACCAACAAGGTTCTCAACAAACAGAGTTGTTGAGAGAAGAGGGTGCTCAACAGTTTGAACTATTGAGACAGCAGCAGGCTGCTGCTGGTGGGTCGATGCACTCGCGTCGACCCGAGACTTTGAAGATTGACATCTCCAAGTATAGGGGGGTCGAAGAAGACTCCCTCTTGAGATGGTTCGTCGAATTGGATGACGCCATAAGGGCGCGTCACATCGACGACGGGGATATGCAAGTTGCATTTGCCCAATCAAATCTGGCAGGACGTGCCAAGACTTGGGCACTGGGGCCTAAGTTGCACGACCCATATGCGTTTGGGTCGTTGGAAGTCTTCAAGTCGCGGCTCAGACAAACGTTTGAACCGCCTAGAGCTGAGTTCAGAGCTCGAACCGAACTTTTGAAGCTCAAGCAGAGTAAGCGTGATGTGCACGCTTACGCTCAACATATACGACATCTCACGAGTTGTATAAGTTCCAATCCGGTGGATGAACACACGTTGGTTTCGGTGTTCATGCAGGGTCTTGCGGATGGTCCCGTCAAGACTCACCTGTTCCGGCTTGAACTAGATTCACTAGAACAAGCCATTTCCATTGCGGAGCAGGAAGACTTCAGTCTGAGACAGGCTCGCGCCAGCTCTGTCTGAGACAGGCTCGCGCCAGCTCGACATCATATCGTCAACCGAGACGATATGACAACGGAGGTCCAGAGCCGATGGAACTCTGTTATGTAGAGAGCGAGAAGGCTCGCTCTACAGGCTACAAGAAGTTGCAGAAATGCAACAGATGTCAAAAGACAGGACACTACGCTTACGAGTGTAGTGCCCCTCATCCAGTGTCTCGCGACACTGGGCGTAGTGACCGTCCACCCGTGAGAAAGGGGCAGGGACGCGGGTCCGCAGTTGGTGCAAAGACGCAACAACGGGATGGACCGTAAAAAAACGGACAGGATCAGTAGGTGCGGAGCACCCTACTGGTCTAGCAACGTCAAGAGAATTTGTAGGCCTCTTGATGAAGGTTGCTCCCAACACATAAACGTTGTGCGTTGCTGCTCTAGGTAATGAGGTCTCACTCATTACCTTGAAACTCGAAGTGACGAATAAGTTGTCCCTTCGAGCTCTAGTCGATTGTGGGGCGTCCAACAATTTTGTGCGACGCCAATCGCTAGAAGATGGTCACTTTAAATTCAGTGAATGTGACACACCTCCTACGAGGATGACGGTACGTCTTGCGACAGGCGCATCCGTAACCGTCATGAAGCGTATAGTGAAGATCCACTATACGCTAGAAGATACCCAATATGACGATGACTTTATCGTATTGGATTTGGATGACAAATTTGATGTCATCCTTGGAATACCGTGGCTCAGAAGGTACGAACCACGGGTAAACTGGCAACATCGGACAGTAACGATGCCTGCCGCTTGTTCATCAGATGGCCATCTGATGAACGTTTTGGAGCGTCCACAAGCGTGTGGATGTACTACGAGTGAGTGCGATGGCCTCACTTGTGGTACGGTCGTTAGTACGAATGCACAAAACCTTAGTGTACCAAACGGTTACACTTCGGAGCAAAGTTCCGGCGGCTGTGAGGAAACACAGGCTGCGGCGAAGGTCCACCACTCGAATAAGTCGGGTGGACTGGGACAAAGATTTATCCCTAGCGGGGAACATCTAGAAGAGAAACAATCGATCGCTCAGGTTAAGCGAAACGATAATCCTAGATCGACTGGAGAGTCTTTCGTAGAGGATCTCGCTGTGGTTGCGCAACCCCAGCTAGAGGAAGTAAAGGGAATAAGTCCCAAGATTACAAATACGGCGGAAATAAGTTCCCCGAAACCCGCGGGAATAAGTCCCCGGGAAGACGAAGGAATAAGTCCTTCGAAGCCTGAGGGAATAAGTCCCCAGGAAATGACAGAGACATTGAATGTCATAGTCAATAACGGATCAAGTGTAGGCGCTTATACACTTGATCTGATTGCGCCTCCGAAGTTGACTTCGGAGATCACTCAGTTGCCAACGCTCGAACATAAAGGTTCTTGCGTGATCTGCGTAGTGGCAAAGTCAAGCAGATCTGCATACTCGTCGCTGACGACGAGTGTGTAACCGACATAAGGTCAGCAACAGTGTTCACTGAGAACGAGAGAGTTCTCAGTAGTTCATCTATGGACGAGAGTGTCCTAGATGAAAAGACACGAATTGAGCGATATGACTCCCAATCATGGGAATCGCTCAAGAAAAATCCTCTCTACGAATTTTTGGTTGAATTCGAGGATGTATTCCCTGAAACTGTTCCGTGCGAATTACCGAAGGATAAAGGTATTCGACACGAAGTCGAGCTTAAACCAGGCTCGAAGTACTGTGTCATGAAGCAGTGGCCACTGCCTCGTGAACAAGTACTTGCGATCGACAAGTTCTTTGCCGATCGTTTAGCAGCGGGCCATGTGAGGGAATCAACTTCCCCACATAGCTCTCCGACCTTCTGTGTGCGAAAAGCAACAGGAGGGTGGCGGATAGTGCACGCGTTCAACAAATTGAACGCTGCAACGGTACCGGCTCAGACGCCGATACCGAGGAAGGACGTAATCATTGATGGTATGTCAAAGAGTACCATCTTTTCGTCCATGGATTTGATGGATGGCTTCTATCAAATCCTAATGCGAGAACGGGATATACCCTATACCGCAGTTAGCACGCCTAGCGGCATGCTCTGGGAATGGCTAGTAATGCCACAAGGGCTTAGTAATGCCCCTGCCACGTTCAAAAGATGTGTATCACATCTGTTGAGACCAGTACGAGAATTCGCGCCGAGTTATTTCGATGACGTATTCATCCATAGTCGAGCTATGGATGGAAAGTCGGACGTTGAGGTTCACAGGTACCACGTCCGACAAGTTCTTACAATCATGCGAAAGCATCAATTGTATGCTAACCTCAAGAAGTGCATATTTGCAGCAAGCGAAATACCACTTATTGGGTGCATCGTTGGTAAGAACGGTGTACGTCCTGATCCCGAAAAGATCAAGGCGATCACCGACTGGCCTGTGCCGGTCGATGTCAAAGGTCTTCGAACATTCCTCGGGCTAGCGGCGTATTTGCATAAGTATTCACGCAATTACGCCGAGATGACTGTGCACCTCTCTCGTTTGTTGAAAAAGAACGAGAGGTGGTTATGGAACGCTGAATGTCAACGCTCCTTTGAGGGTATCAAGCAGAGCTTGATACAATCCCCAGTCCTAGCTATAGCCGATCAGGACAGGCCATTTCATGTGGTCTGTGATGCCAGCGATTCCGCAATCGGCTGTGCATTAATGCAGTACGATCTTGAAGGCGTTGAACGCGTCGTCTGCTATCAGTCGCGTCAGCTGCAACCAGCTGAGCGGAACTATCCAGTGCATGACAAGGAACTCCTTGCCATGAAGTATGCACTCGCGAAGTTCAGAGTCTATCTATTAGGAGATAGACCCTTCATTGTTTACACTGACCATGCGTCGTTACGCACGGCAGTGAACAGCCCGCACCTTTCACAACGAATGGCGCGGTGTTTGTCATTCTTTGCGGAATACAACTTTACGGTCGAGTACAAACCAGGACGACTTAATGTCGTCGCTGATGCACTCTCACGTCGTCCCGACTTTGAAACAGTCGCAAAACCCAACAGTGATACAGTCACTGTTGCGGTAATGACGTCCTCAGTCCCATCTACAACGTTGCATGACGGTGTGAGGCGGGCATACGCCCAAGATGGTGAGATTGTGAAGTTGTTGACACATCTCTCCCAACCATCCCGAGAATCGTTGAAACGATTGTCGCCTGCGTATCGATCTGCATCAGATCGATACACTACTCGTAACGGTTTACTGTATTATACAGCCGTTTCTGGTGACACACCATGTGTTGTCATTCCAGATGATACTGATCTGCGTTTGCGGATCATGTTCGAGTATCACGATGCTCCTATAGGAGGACATCGTGGCCGAGAGAAAACATATCTCACGGTAAGTCGAGACTTTTACTGGCCCCGCCAGTATCTGTTTGTGCGAAAGTATGTTCGCGCATGCGAAGTCTGTCAACGAGTGAAGTCAAGTCCTTCACTGCGTGCACCTTTACAGCCTCTACCGGTTCCGGCTGAGTGCTGGGAATCCACCTCAATGGATTTCGTCTTCGGGTTACCCAAAGACGCACGCGGGAATACGGGTATTCTCGTATTTGTTGACAGATTCAGCAAAATGGTACACCTTGTGGCTGTACCAGAGACAATCACGGCAAGTGGCTGTGCTTGTGTCTTTATTGACACCATCTTCCGACTTCATGGGTTGCCCCGTGAACTCGTATCAGACAGAGATCCACGATTCACTGCTGATTTCTGGCGTTCCGTGTTCAAATCACTCGGAACGCGCTTGAAGATGTCGACATCTGATCATCCAGAGTCAGATGGTCAGACGGAACGTGCCAATCGTGTCCTTGAAGAGATACTTCGAGGATACGTACACTCCTTTAAGAGATGGAGTGAGTTATTGCCAATGGTAGAGTTTGCCATTAACAACTCGGTGCATGCGTCCACGACACATACACCGTTTACTTGAATGGCTTGCGCCATCCGCTTGTACCAACCTTACTTGAGTGTAACTCTGATTTAAGGGGGGAGAGACTCGCGCGAGCAAAAACCGATTTGGTTCACGCTCATCACGCTCTGACGATGAGGTCATTGCGTTTGATGCCGATATCGATAACATCGATATCGAAGAAGATGATGCCAGTGAGATTGCGGAAGCCCTCACTGAAGAAAAGGTTGATGTTGCTGCAGTGCGCTCACAGCGCACTGGAGCTAACGAGTCATCAGATGAGTTCATACTGGCTCGTGAAACGGTAGTCCGTTTTGTGCAAGATTCCATCGCCGAAGCGGTGGATAAGCAAAAGCAAAACGCTGACAAGAATGGAAGGGCAAACACTCTTTTATTCAATAAAGGTGACTTAGTCCTACTGTCTACGGTTAATCTACCAAAGCACGTAGTGACTAACTTGGGTAGCAGTAAACTTCTACCCAAGTACATCGGCCCATTTCGGGTATTGCACCACCTAGGCAATGCATACACGATCGAGTTACCACGTAAGATGCGAACGCATCCCACGTTTTACGTTGGTCGGTTTAAGCCGTACCATCAGTACGCTGCTTCTTCCGATGAAGAACGCCCTTGCGCTCAAGCATCTCGCAGAGAGCCTTGTGCTCCCGATGGTAGGCATCGACAAGGGTCTGAAGAGCAGCTATCTCATCCCGAGACCGATCAGCAATCCCACGAGCTACCCTTAGTTCGTCACGAAGAGATGTCAGAGATCTCTCGTTCTCAAGCTGAGCAAAGGCAAACTCAGCTCGATGCTTCAAGGCAGTGTCCGCCATTTGGAGACGCCTATTCCGCTCATGCTCGAGATCGTCGCGTAACCCTTGCGTTACGCGATCAAAGAAGCTCTCGGGAACACACCGATCCACATGATCGTGTGGAGAGCGTCTTTCCTCCTCCTCCACCTCCATTAGAGGACTCTCGCGGTGGCCAGCGCTATCTAGTTGAGCAGCTGTTGAACCACCGCGACGTGAACGGACGTCGGACGAGTTATCTCGTCCGGTGGCGCGGCTATCCCCCGTCCTGGG